AGCTACCTGAAATCCCTCCCCAAATTCCCAGTAAAGTTGATGATGATGGATAATGATGATGAAAAAGAAAAATATAAGTCTTTGCTTTGCTGCTGCAAAAGCAAAACCGCAAGAGCACCAGCAAGCCAGCGAGCAGCAACTGTTCTCACTCCGGAGAGCACGAACAGAAGTGGGGAACGGCCGGAGGGGAAAAGCTTATATGAAGCATCTATAAAAGTAGATACACCTTTCAGCAGGGCTATTGGCTGCCGGACATGCCAATCCAGGAACTCTGTCCTGATTGGCCAGCAAGCTCAGAGAGGCCCCCTCCAAAGGGGTAACGAATATAGACGAATATGAACAGATCGACGAGTAAAACCGAGGAAATATTCGTCAAGCTATATTCGTCCTGATTTAAAATGTTAGAAATACGGATCTACGAATATATGACAAATTGGCTATATTTGTCAGAAAAACTGAACCGTTTTTATATTCGTCCCCATCTCTAATGTAGAGTCTTAATGAGCTTGCTTGACAGCCGATTTACAAAGAAAACATTTGATTGCAAGTTAGATAGATCATATTTTGTGTTCTGAGATAAAGACTCAAAGTGTAGCTATTTTCCGCAACCCCGTAACACCTTCCTCCAGGCCTATAATGGCAGGTATATTTATCTGTCTATGTATGATAATAACAGCCATGCACTACAAGGAGAATATTTTAATTGGAATTTACATTACCCAAGTGGGTGACAAGTAGCCTCAATCCAAACCTGAATATTTCAACTTTATCTCTTGTTTCTGTGTTATTATTTATTTCTTTAGAGTACTTCATAAGCTGCCTAGAGATGTGAATCCTCACTTGTTTTTGTGACAAATACAATCCTTTTTTTCTCTTGTCCTGAAAAAAAACACATAAAATATTTTCTGTTGGTTTCCTTTGGAGTGTTCAGACTTGTAAGCATGACTTTCGTTTTATTTGTAATCATGTGATAAAACATTGTGTTCATTTCACAAAGAATCTAAATTGTTCCATTCAACTAGAAGCCCTGGATGGTTTGCTTGCATCTTTTTGTTCAATCAGCCAGTTCCTCAGTGCTCAGGAATTCTTTGTCAAGCTTTTGTTCAATCAGCCAGTTCCTCAGTGCTTGTTGTGTAGAGGAACACTTTGCTTCTCAAAGGAAAGGGCATTAGTTTTACACAGAGACATGCTGTGTGTGTTGCACAGACTAGGATGGTGGAGGGTGATCTCTTGGTCTCTCTTCAGACGAAATCTTGCAGGGCTCAGGAATTCTTTGTCAAGTTGTCTTGTGTAGGTTGGCACAGTCTAAATCAACACAAATAAAAACCACAGTGAAGATTTTTCACATTCACACTTCTACAGCATGGCCTTTAATACGTCATTTTTATTTCATTTGACAAAGAAAAGCTAAATATATCTTTTAAACATTTACTGTGTGGTCCCTCTAAGAAGTTCCAGAGATGGTCCCAAAAGGAGATAAGGTGGAGGTTCCACCATGATGTGGAAAGTCTGGGCTTGAGGACAATCCACCTCCTGGCTCAAGAAAGTTGATGCCACCAGACAGTGGCTAGACCAGTGACCAGGAAGAGCGCTGGCTTGCAAAAGAAGAGTCCTTATGCACAAATTATTCCACAGAAGGCGAGCATCAGCTTCTTTGCCCACAATGAGCTGTATGTGAGTCATGGATTGGGCTCTAGGAGCTGGTCGGGCTTTGGCAAGGAGGGTTTCTGGGGCAGAGAAAATGGTCTTATCCTGAGTCAGATACCTGGTCCATCTAGCAGAGTGGTGTCAACTCTGAATGCATAAGTGCTCTCTTACGTTTTAGGTAAGCCTCTCTTCTAGCCGTACTTGCAGATTCCTGGAATTCCTTGTTGGCCTTCCGTCCAAGTACTCACCATCTCTGATCTTGTTTAGCTTCTGAAATGAGGCAAGAAATAGGGAGCCCAGGGTGTTATGGTTGAAGAACAGCTGAACGTCATCTCCTGACCTTTTCAGCATCCTCCCTCATTAACCACCCTTTCTTCTCCTTGACTCTTTTGTCGTAGAGCCTGCGCTGCCTCTGGTCTCTCCTTCCAGGTGGAACATCTGCTTCCCTTTTGCCCCAAGCTGGCCTAGATGCTCGGATTCCTTTGACTTTGCTTCCAGTTTTGCCTGAACCACCGAGAAGGAGTGGCTCTCTCGGCCCCTTAATCGAAGCAGACATCTGGTGTAAATTGGAGGATTTTAGTTGTATTGCTCAATTATGGAGGATCAGCCAGCGGAATCCCAGTGCTCCTGAGTGCACCAGGAGTTTCTGAAAATATTCCTATTGCTATTTTTTTAAAAAAAGTTTTCAATATGTCTTTTTGACAAAGCAAGGCAGAAATACTTGAAATATTCAATTAAACAAAATACGATTATCTGCAGGGTCTCAGCGAAGACCAGAGGAAACATTTCTGGAGGAGGGAGATTTTCAGTGTTACCTAACTCAGCCTTCTACATGAGGAGGAAAAAAAAAGACCCTCAATGGCTCTCCCAATACTCATGAAACAAATTGACCCTTCTCTATTTCAAACATTCTTTTAGTCCTGTGGCATCATTGGTCTGGAATGTAGGAGATTAAACATAATTCCCCTGTCAATGCTTCCTTCCGATGAATTGACAACTTAGGCCTTTGGTGATCCGCTAAACTCACGGCTGAATACATTCACCAGAGGACAAAGGACAGGGACCAATTAGTAATACAGGTGGATTTCAAAGCATTAGATGATCACACAGCGCAGCGCAAGGTAGCTTTCCCCTTCCGTGTCAACCTGAAATGGAGACCATCAAGGACAGTTGCTTTGGAAGGCAACTGGAATAAAGATGATGGCATTTCCACCCCTGAGGTCTCCCATTCCCATCTTCAGAGAGAACCTC